TTTTTTTTTTTTTTTTTTTTTCTTTTTCCCTAAATTTTAATTTGGGTTTCCTCGGCCCAAACTTTTCAATTTTGTTTGTTGAAAAAAAAAAAAATCCGTAAATAACAATTTTGTGGATATAATTTCAAATTTTAATAATTTAAATACTAAAAATTTAGCATTTCACTATGTAAATTGATAAATTAACGATGTTTATAATAAAATCTAAATATTTAGAAAATAAAAATTTAAATTAAGTTCATTAAATTTATAATATATTAAGTTTAAAATTATATTTAATATGCTAATTATTTTTAAATTTTTAAAATTTGACAAGTACCTATAAAATACAAAAATTTAAATTTAAATATCTATTATAAACCCGCCAAGTTATCATTAAATAACACAAATTTCAAAATTCGCGGGCCCTTCTGGCCATCAAAGCCCAGCATGGGTCTGGCTAAAAGTGGGGCCTAAACCGCCATGGAAAGCCCAAAAAGAGAACGCCTTCCCGATTAGGGTTTATGCTTGGCGTCTATATGTACCGATTGTCATCTACAACATCCATCAATTCTAAATCGATCTGCATTCCCAGCTTCAGTCTTTATGATTCGGCGAGGTATTTTTGTTTTATTTGTTTTACTTCTGCGTTCATCCCAATGAGGAAATCCTTGAAATTGCAAGTGCCGTATGACACTTAGTGAATGATTTGAAATGGATCTCTGAGGGACTCTTCTTCGGTTATCGACCTTCGTCGTGTCGATGCTCCACCGCGGGTGGATGAAAGAAGGTTTACCGGCGACACGATTACCGGCAATTGTACGTAGCCGATCTCGCCATTGCCTCTTTTCCACTTTCTATTATTTGAAATTTTGTCAAAAAATATCTTTTCTTCTGTTAGTGGATTTCAATTTGTTCATAACATTTATAGGAATGAGACGCAGAAATATTTTGATTCGAAAAACTTAGATTGTAGGTTTTCGATGAACAATCGCGTTTAAGCTTACATAAATTTTAATTTTCTATGGATACAAGGTTTTGATCCTTCGGCTTTCCATATTGATTAACAACTTTGCCAGCCCCACTTTACTACTTCAATTTAAAATTTGATGCTTTTAGGCTTCCAAATTATTATTATGCGTTTAGGCTTTCTATTAAGAATATCTTTAAAAAATGGGAAAAATTCAAATCCGATCTTGGGAGTCTCCGCCTTGCCGGAAAACCACCTTTAGATGTTGAAAAAAAAGATGGGATTGGACTTTAGAACCCTAATTTCCCTCATATTTTTATTGCATCTACAAAAGCATGGATCAAATTCTCTACGATCGTCCAGGACCCACTTACAAATGGTCCACAAAAAATGTAAAGAAAGACAAAAACAAAAGATTGAGATCAGGCCAAGGGTTTTGTTAATCTGAGTGGGGTAAAGAAGAAAAAGGAGAAGAAGAAGGCTAAACTGAAATTCAAATTTCAAGTTGGCGGGAAAAATCGGTTAAGATTGAATGGTAAAGTATAGAACTCTTCATTTCTGTTGTCTCCTCTGAACGTTCTGAACTTCACCCACCATGGCATTCCTCTATCTTTCTTTGATTTTTCAACCTCCAATGTGTTGTCAAGAAACACAGCCACTGCCAACGACACTGTTACTGGCGACGAGAATATTGTGTTCATAATCGCATTGAACTGCAAATCCAAGTCAAACCCAACATTAGAACATTATAAACAAGCATGGCTTTTTTTCGCTTGGGTCGAGTAAGAGTTTACCCATCCAGCGTTCGAATGAACAAGTCCACGGCGGGTTGGGTTCCAGTATTCATTGAAAAACTGGGGGATGGATAATCCGAGAAACAGTGAAAGTCCTGTGATGATGAGGTTTCTCATTGAATTCATGTTTGTGAACTGGAGAAATGATAATCCGACCGAAGCTGAGAAACACAAGCAGTTTTTGTCAGGTGGAGTGTAACTATGAATGAATGAAGTTTCTTCGAGTTTTGACGCGTACCAACAAGGCCGAAGAGTATACAGTAGAGTGCAGCAAAGATGGGGATTGGTATGGATGCAAAGACAGCTCCAAATTTACCTGAAAAAGAACCATCAAGTTGTAACTTGTTAGTGGTCTGAAGGCTAACTTGGATACCAAGATGTAGTGTTATTACATACCCAAGGTAGAGAAAAATATCATGAAACCAGCAGAAATTTGAACAACCCTTCGACTTCCAACTCGGGTAAGCCCAAGAAGTCCCACATTTTCCCTGCAGAACATAATGGCAACATTGATCGAGTTCATTCGTGTCTGAAACAGGAAGAAGATGAAAAATAGAACACAGACTCCATCTTACACAGCAACCGTTGCACCAGTGGTTGTTCCAAAGAGACCGTTCAGCAGGACGCCAATCCCCTACCAAGAAAGCAAACCATTTCAATCAAGGCCGTGCACAAACAACAGTAGGCAACCGGGTTAAATCAACCAGCTTACCTGCCAGCCAATGCCTCGGCTCAGTACATAAGCAGGAGGAGGGGTGGCGATTGCCAAGCGAGCGGCCGCCTTGTATGCACCGGTTGACTGTGATGAACATATTAAGAGTCAAGAGCAACTTTCAAGAGTACCGAGCTCACATTCATTTTCAGATTGTGAGAAGGAGAAATACCTCAACCATTGAAACAAAAACAGCAGCCATCATAGCAAATGAATGACCAGCTGAAAAAGTAGGAGGACCCCATTGCAAAGGGTATGGAAACTTGAACCTGAAACAGCAAACACATTCATATGTGTTCTTTCAGTACCAGCAACTCTATAAAGCCAACACCAAGAAAGTGAGTTTCAGCTCACCATGGGGCAGTGGTAATAAGATTTGCTCTATCAGTTCGGCAGCTTAACTGGGTTTTTATGGGCTTGTGCCGATACGCCCCGCTCGCGGTTAAGATCACAGAATAGATCCAAACAATTGTGACACAGATCAACACTGGAAATCTCTCAAAAATTGGAAGATCTCTGAAGAGTCTCACATGCTTTAGATACTGCAATTCCACCAGAGGTTAAGAAAGTAATGAACATGCCAAGAGGACCGACTACAAGAGAAATGCACGCCACTTACTTGTGATGATCCAATGACAAGTATGAGCATGGGCAACCCTATTTCCACACACTCCCCCAGCTGAAAAACAATAACTTCTTGCCTTGGTTACAAATAATGGAAGCAAAATCCAGGAGATAAACCAAAGCTCATGGAACCTACCACTGGAAATCCTCGTTGAAACAAGCCAAGGCCAACCAATCCGACAACAGGAGCCATGCCCAATGGACTGAAGAAGCTACACAAACAAAGCAATGACATGATCAACGACATCGATAAGTGATACAAAATCCCCACAATTGTCTCATTGAAGTGAACGGGAACATACCGTGAGAGTAAGCCCCAAACTTGGCTGTAACCGAGAATGATCTGTATGCTTGAGGCAACAATGAGAGCTCCTTGGATGGCACGCATTGTATGTAAAAATCTCTGCAAACGAATCACATGGGAAGATCTCTTTCAATACCCTGTATACAGACTGTGTTATTCTGTATACAGGGGATTTCCTCTATTAAGATAGATGAAGATGAGAAACTTACTTCATGAGAATCGGTAATCCGTTGCAATGACGAGTCTCCGACAATGTAAGCTATAGGAACAACATAGGCAAAGGAGCCTCCAACTACTGCTGGTAATCTAGTTCCAAACAGTGCTTGGAGAAGTGTGTTTAAGCCAGCTACAAAAAGAAGAGTCTGAATGACTCGTGCTTTGTCTCCCTGAACAAAGAAAACGATAATATAAGATCAATCAGGTGCAAACGAAGGCCAGATAGAATGAAATGAAAACTAAAGCTTACATTGTCTCCACCCATTGCTGGGACGATTAAAGATGGAATCATCACATTGGTGCCTAGCATCAGAATGTAATTCTGAAAAGCTAGTAGGATGGTTTCAGCTGCAAAACAACACCATTTTATATACTCAAAAATAAGAGCAAGTTGGGCGTTTATTTAGCTAAATACCAGCGGATATTGTACTCTTTTGGGCTTTTTAGGCTTTCCTTCACAGTTCTAAAACATCTCTCTCAAGGTAGAGGTTTTCATACCCTTAATGTTTTGTTCTCCTTTTCAACGTTCTCCTTTTCAACCGACGTGGGATCTCACAATCCACCCCTTTTGGGGGTCCAGCATCCTCGGTGGCAAATTGTCCAGTATCGGTGTCTAACTTTGATACCATTTGTAATGGCTCAAGCCCATTGTCAGCATATATTGTCCTCTTTAAGCTTTCTCTCCTGAGCTTTCGTTTTAAAACGTCTGATCGGGAGAGGTTTTCACACCCTTATAAGGAATGTTTCGCGAATGCCGACACAAACTACCATCACCGTCTTAAAGGCTAGCAAGTGATTGATCATCAATAAAAAGCAGAATTTTGGCGAAAATTTATCAGGGTATATCAGAAATCCTCAAAGGGGTTAGCATTCATTATGAATCAATGGGAAATGTGAAAGCTGGATTACAGTTTAGCATCCAGAGAAGGAAGCTTTAGAAGCTATAGATTCCCATTCCATTTCTTTAAAGATAATAATCTGAAGCAACATAAACAGAAGAAGCTTGCACAATAAGAACACGACAAAAAGCAGAGACCAACAAAAAATGGAGAGAAATCTCATATTCACAAGTGCAGTTTGCTTAAGAAAAACACCAACCCGACATTGCCACCAACACTGTAAAACCGACCAACCATTTTCCCGACATGAAAGGCAATGAGTGGTTTTCCAGAAGGATTCTCAGTCGAGACAGAGACAGGGAAATGAAAATTGCAGAAAGTATAAGAAGAGATGTAAAGGGGGGAGAAGCACCGTACCCCAAGAGGGGTTTGAGTCTATGCAGTACTCAAGGTCTTGGAGCTGTTCCATGGGAGGGTGAGTGATGTCCTCCATTGTTGTGGCCTTATTTTCTTTGTTTTTGCTTCTTCTTCTCACAGACACAGCTGCTTTTGGTCGAAACGAAGAAGAAGAAGAAGAAGAAAGGGTAAAGTATAGATATAAAGTGAAGAGCAAAAGCAAGAGGGAAAGAAATGAAAAAGAACAATATGCAAAGCAAAAACCCTCCAACGCCAAGCCTCCCTTCGCTGTAGTTGAGAACCCTCTTCTTTTTTCCTCCTTTTTTTTCCCTTCTTTCCTTCCTCTCTCTATCTGACTTGGAGCACGATGACGAAAATACCCCTCTTTAATGCTCATAACTACGAAATAGCCCTCCAAATTTTCATCCTGAATAGTACAGTAATAAATGGCCTGCAAATGGGGTACCCCACAAATACAGGTATTTACCTTTTTTTCAAAATTGACCATGTACAATTTGGAACTATTTAGGTAAAATAAATAAATAAAATTGTTTTTGTTCAATGTCAATAACAATAGTAAACTACTTGAGAACGTGGGAGCAAGTTGGGATTTTTGGTCAAGACAGCTGATATTATTCTCGTGTTTATATAGATTCGTTATACACTTCTGCTTCTAACATTGGGTAAATTTCATAAATTAACTACTCAGTCGTACCGTATTTTTTCTAGAACAATACCGAACATTCTTTCTTTCTGATCGGGTATAAAGATGGTTGTTTACTTTAGGGGTAACTATTTAGAGCAATTGGGAAAGTAAATTTTTTTTTTTTCAACTTACCAATCCAATTCGTGGGAGGGCAAAATGGTCAAATGGCATAAATTGGAATGTCAAGGAGGAGGAGGTGGTTTCGGCTGAAACGGCCTCACTACTAATAAAGATTTAAAAAAATAAAAAACAATAATCAAAAAAAAAAAAAAAAAAAAAAAAAA